CAAATGAGCGCAACCAAGGGAAAACAGACGCGATACACAAATGGCCAGCGCAAACAGCTCCTGGCCAGGTTCCGCGCGTCAAATGGCACCAGTGAACGCCAGTTCTGCCGTGACAACAAGATCTCCTGTGGCACATGGCAGGACTGCCGTTCACGAGAGTCAGCCATCATGGCAAGCAAACGCCACAGCCGGCATGCGACCTTGGGCGGCCAGGGCGCCGTGAGCTGTTGCCGTTCAAGGACGACCTCTTGGCCTACATGCGAGTCAAACGTGACTCCGAAGAGCACCTGCGGGTGTTTCACCTCATGCGCTGGGTGAATACGAATCACAAAGCGTGGCTCGTGTAGTACCTGGCGTCCAAGAAGAACGAAGCGGTGGCGTATCAGTCGTTCCGAAGTCTCATGCATCGCTTTGCCGACCGACACCGCTTCCGCCACCGTGTCCCCTGTGCCAGCAAGGTCAGCCAAAAGGTCCTGGACGACGTTTGGATGGGCAACGCCTTCCACTTTTGGTCGACGTATGGTCACTACCCTCGCAGCCAAATTCTGAACGTCGACGAGACGGGCGTCTACTTTGCCATGCCCCCTGGAATGACGTTGGCCGAAATTGGCAAGTCCAGCAAATGTAAGAAGGCCACCAAGCATTCCGAGCGATTGACAGCGGTGATGACGATTCGAGCGGACGGTATGACATTTCCTGAGAGTGATTTCCGTCATGCGTGTTTAGGTGTCAAGCTACCTATCCTTTTCATCGTCAAGGGAAAGCCAGGTGGTACAATCGACACGAGCGAGCTGCCAACGTACCCTCCTGGACACGTCTATGCGGTCCAGGAGAGCGCGTGGATGGACGACCGCGTTTGGGACATTTACCTCGACGAGTTGTTGGCAGCGCACGTGGAGGACTCGTCTGTTCTTCTTGTCGACAATCTAGCATGTCATGTGTCTGACAAGTCGTACGACAAGGTGGCGGAGACGATGTTCAGTGTTCTGGAGCCATTGCCACCCAACTCGACCAGCCGGTGTCAGCCGCTTGATGTCGGCGTGATGGGTCCTTTGAAGGCCATGCTGAAGACAGCGTGGTTGCTAGAAGACGACGAACGCAACGGCGACATCTTGACGGCACAAGAGAAGCGTTTGGCCACAGTGAAACGGACGATTAAGGTCTGGGATCGTATTTCGACAGACACGATTGTGAAAGCCTTTGATAAAGCGATCCCATCAGTACTTGAGATTTAATTCATTACAATTTGATGGTCATGTATTGTGTGAGATTGTTGCGGACACTCGAATATGCGCGTTATCCGGTTTTGCGACGCGTGCGACGCGCATTATCCGGGCTCACTGACTTTAGTTTTAGCCAATACATGTCGTCTTCACGGAGTTGCACGAAGTGATTTTCATTATATTTTGATTGTGCGCCATACCACTGAACATAGTATTTTCAAGTCATGGGCAAAAGTTGCACTGGCCGGGTTTTACCGGCAACCACTGTACGGTGCTCCCACCAATACGAACATATTCGTTCACAGCATCCACCGGAGGCCCATAGGCTGTTGACGCAATGCAGCTGTCACTTTTTGTAATGTCGAAAGACCTTGTTTATGTAGAGCGTAATAACGCTGCTCGAACTAAGGTCGTGCAACGTAGTGTCATCGATGATACGGAGCAATAAACCTCGCTCCATTCTGAATCTGCGACGAAACAACTTCACTCCATACACCGGGTGCGGGGCAAAGTAGTCCTAATTCAAACATATGAATAACCTGTGTTTCAATGATGTATTGGTTGTGCCTCGTAAATGCGGCGGGTACCTTGAACGCAGCCGCGTTCGATGTTTGGTGCGCGCTGGAGCAGACCCGCCGTGCTGTCTGATGATTTTGTCCTCGTCTGGCCATAACGTAACGTCAAGCGGGAGGAACATTTGTATCGGGTCGTCTTCAGATATCTCGTCATGACACCACTCCCAGGAGTCGCTTTCACTGTCGGACATATCATGTGGGCAATGCAAATTTGCCGATCAAAAATAACCAGACTTGCAGTGGAGAGGAAGTCCAAAACGATTTTCGTAAATTTATCCGGACGCAGTTGTTCCCTGAAAAAAACCCGGAAAATACTCGGATGAGGCGGAGATACTATTACCAAGGTCAATTCCCCCAAGAATAATTCCCCACAGCAATGGGTGCCTACCTTCAAAACTTCCCAGATCTACCTTCTTTGGGGAATAACGGATATTCGTCCGGATAATCTAAGTCCTTGCACAGATAAAACATTTAGCCACCACCAACGATAGAAACCATTTCTGATATGAGTGCGAAGCCGAAACACGATCAAGTGCATGGTGGACGAGTGTTTCATCACTTCGAATACGCAATTTCCAAGCTACGTACAGGCAAATCACAAACACACTCCGGAACATCGGAATATACGTAAGATGTGGGGTCGCGAGGTAGTCGACAATGGCGAACTACATATGCTCGCGTCGTCGACAAAACCAAATGAGTTGTTGCAGCCATTTTTGGAGTATCATGATGACGATTCAGACGACTTCGACGATGTTGAGCAGAATTCCGGGTGACGATGATGTCGTGAATGGCGCCGTGAACGAACAGGACTAACTGATACCTCCTGTAAAGCGTAGTGTCTTCGCCGTGTCGAATGACACTGACATGGAAGGACCCGGAAGCGTCAAGTACTATTGGACGATGATTCCATGGTTGACCGACGCTTGCCCAGAATAGCTTTAATTATAGTAATACATTTGCTTTTTATGAAGTTGAAAGATCTTTCGAGTATATATTATATGTTTTGTACAACTCTTATATTTTCTACTACTTTTCAATTTGTGAAAGTTCTACGTGTCCAAGAATAAGTTGTATAATGTCTAGCTATTATATATTATTCGGAAGTATATACATTTTTAAAGTTATAGAAATTCTTATTTTAGCTCAGTATTTGAATATTGTAAAAAAATAAGTAGTTCACTATACCAGCATTTACTCGTTAAACTAAGACTTTAATGATGAAGAAATTACTACATTAATCTCTCCTAGTTACGCATTCCGTTTGACCGTTTACGCTTTCTCGTCTTCGGACCGGGTATTGATGGGGTTCATCTCTGTTCCACAAACACTTGGAGCCTGTAAGCAAGGATCAAGTCTAGGTCTTGTAGTGGCACATCATGTGACGCATACAACTGCTTAAAACGAGTCACTGAGTATACGTCGTCGAAGTACATGTACAACAGCGGATCCAGCTTTATGGCATTGTAGCAACGAATGGCATGGATGCAGGACTTCTTCGTGTCGAACCACGTGTGGCAATGATACGTCTTTGCCTCGAGATCAACCAATCGCCATAGATGAGGCGCTGCGGCTTGAGATCGAAGTATAACGCCAAGAATGTTATCCCCGGATCGCACTCTTCAATCTATATATGTTTAAGGACTGTTGTATCGTACCACAATACTTCGCGACTTTGTTCACAGCGTTTGATACAGCTTGTGGTGCACTGGAGCATCGACCCGTCAGGCCACTTCACGCTCTTGTTTCTACATTATGACATATTGTATACCGCTTACGCTTTGGGCGCAGTCTCCCTGTGAATTGTCCAATTACTATGTGATTCTTAGTGCGCACTACATTTGTAGTACCGGTATCGCCAAATCCCTCGTAGTCCTGTTTTGAATACTTCACTTGATTAACGTATTCTACCTCCCACGGCGTCTTTCCGTCTAACTATATAAAATCCAAAGTGCCAATTCACGGCGTAGGTGCCAATTAATTAC